AACGTCGATTAGCAAATACCAATCCAGCAGTACTAAAGCGTTGATTACTAGCTATACTCGTCGGTGGTGCCGGGAGGTATTTTAGAACAGCCTTTCGTAATGAAGGTTATGGGCTTGAATTCTAATACTCATATATTAGCATTTCTTTGCAAGCGTGGTTCATTTATATAATATTTAAGAATTTGATTTAACACTGATTCATCTTTATTAGATTTTTTGAGAGTTGTCCAAATCGTGAAAATCCCATAATCCTTCTTCCTCTTTTCTCTAATCAGCCGAACCTTTAGGTGATAAACTATTTACCATATTTTCTCTATTTTGGTCTCCGTTTTATAAATTTATTATTTCCTTTGTAGCGGTATCTGCTTTACCGCGAATAAGATATTTTGTTTTAAATCGGGTGTCTAGTAAAGTTGATTTAATAAATGTAACATAACCTTTTACATATCGTTACCAAAAAATTATTTTTAACCAAGTCTCTACAACATAGTAATTTGGATTTAAAAGTTAGCAGGTCGTTTTTCTTTCGTCGTTGTGACCAAAGGCTATGTATTTGATGTTTATAGAATGGACATGGTTCAATGTCCGTTATCAATGTTTTCAAAATAAAATAAAATAAATTGACTTCGGTTACATCCATTTTCATTCAGTCTAATGGTAGTCAAAATACCACTGAAGGAAATTTTATATCTAGGTAATATACATATAATGATGGAGTTATTTCAATAAATTTAACTTTTGAATATTGGACGTTGCTGTGTCCAGGTTCGGAAAACTTTTGTTGTATCCATTTTATTTGTGGATGATTTGATGAAATACTGCAATCCAAGAAACAACGCTATTCCTATTCTAGGAAGTACAGAAATCAGCCCAAATAATCAGTTTTTTTAATTCCGGAAAATCTGAACTGAAATTTTTAGCAGATTGCCGCATCTTTGATTTCCTGCTCTTCCGGATATCATTTCATGCCAATTATTAGTTGTTTATTACGCTGTTTCCACTAAATACCAGTAACACAAATCATTAACTCCTACTGACAGGAGAGATCAGTAACTGATTGAAACTATTATTTTAAACCAAGTCCTATATCACGCTTTTGAATGCTCTGTTATTATTGCAGGGGACTTGGTACAATATACACCTAATTGTTGATAATTCAGTAGTTTTTAGAAGGAAATCAGTCATCAAAGATTGTGTTTGATTTCGTGATAAACCGTTATAAAGTTCCCTGTAAGATGTCAGCTCGTTCCTCATCAGGATCATGTTGTTCAAAATGATTATCTAATTTCCTCGCAAGATCAAGACCATTAATTAGAGTTGCATTTAAAATGGGAGGATCTTCTTGGTCATTATCGCAATGTTCTCTGTCATGATGAGTCTCAAGGGTGAGGTCTATAATTTCATTTTTGCTCAAGCTTTTATCAACTAATAATTCCTCTATATCGGCAAATGATAGATCATCGAATCCAATCTCCACCAATTTTATGTGCCAGTGTTGTGATATCAGTAAAAGCAGCGTTATTATGAATGACAGGATCAGGATCTTTGCTTTTGACACATTCTGGCCAAATATTTTTCCAACATGAGTTCAAGGTTGATGGCTTTAAGTCACCCAACGCTAACACAACTGGATTAATGCAGTCCATAATAGAAATTTTTTTCCACACATCAATGACTGTTAATATATGACTGTTAACGTATTGGAATGAACGTTTTATGTACTTAGTACGTTTTAAAAGTAGCAATGATCCCTTGGTCTAGCGGTTGTATTAAGGATGTAGTGTTAGGCGGAAGAAAGCAAAATTGCACATTTGGTTGCTCCAAGATCGGATGGCCAGGTGCATTGCCTAGAATTAAAAGAACTTTAAATTCTAGACATTTCATGTAGCGTCTAACTTCTTGGATGAAGTATTTCTGGAACCATTCTGTAAAGATTCCACTGGTCATCCAGGCCTTTTTGTTTGCTGTCTAGTGAATTGGCAATTTATTGAAATCTACACTTTTCATCGAGCGTGGTTAAACCACGATTTACTAGCAGTGGTTTTAACATACGTTTTCCTGAAGCATTGGAACAAAATAACAATGTTACACGGTGGAGAACCACCGGCAGTTTTCTGTGATTTTGCAACATAACTTCTACTAGGCACTTTTTTCCAAACAAGGCCGCTTTCATCTACATTCCAAACTTGATCTGGGAGTATGTCGTTGCAGAAAATCTGTCATCCAACCTGTACTTACAGCAAATTCAGGAACGCTAACTTTATTTTATTTATAACTTTTTAAATATCTACAACAACTAAACGTCTTTTCTTTTCAACTCTCAAAACCAAACTAAATTGCGTAAAAAATACATTACTTCTTTACTTTATGCATAATTCGTAGAATCCCATTCATATACACATATGTATTGTTATAGCAACAGCTGAACACAATAACAGCCCACTCATCCTTCCATCGTGTTCTATGAGATTGAAGAAAAATTCATAGAATACTGAAAATCGAGTTAAAACAAAACAATTCGTATAAAAAGGTTTTGTTTTCTTTTTAAGTCGTGTTAAATCAAATTCGTGTAAAATGAGAGTTAGGTGTGATTAGATACAGTATGCTTGTGCTCGATTTTGATTTTGTAATTTAGCATTAAGTATTGATATAAGAGGTATAATTATTGAAACATACAAGCATTGCCAAAAGATACTTTGTGTCAGACACTTATGTTGCTTTATAAAAGAACTTTAAAACTTTCTTTATATTTTTTATAAAATACCAATCACTACATAACAATGTGTTTGTACCGCCATGTTGAACGCTGTACAAATTTATTGCATGTTTTTCTTCAACCATTCGTTGCAACATTAGGTACGTGCTATACCACCGCACTTCTATGTTCCAGTAAAGAGGGAGTGGGAAGCCCGTACTAATTTGGACAATCTGTCAGTTTTTGATTCCTTTGAAAGTGACTGACTATTTTTCTGCACCTTTTATCGCTGTTTCTATGCCTTCTTTGAATAAGTCATTAATAATAATGACCATCTGCAAAGTCTGGAATACACAACCTATAGAATCAAATTGTGCTATATTTTGTTGTTTATGTCACCCGCAATTTGATTTTGTTTTTTTGTGAAACGTAATTATGAAACGACGATTAAACTCAGTAGTGAGTACGACTTTGATGGATTTATCCATATATCGGCCGTGAAACTTAACCATTCACATGAGTGACGTCCGGAAATATGTTTCAGATTTAAAACGGTATTTATAATTGGCATTTGTATCTGCTAAATTAAAACGTCTAAAAGCAGTACTTTCCTTTATACAGTATGGCAGTATATCAACAATTATTAAGATTCTCTAAGCAATTGCATGATCCTTCGCTATTCTTTTTGTTATATCCGTCAAGCTACATTGTACGAGATTCGATATATTGTTATTATTATGTTTCTGACATCTTCCTTTTCTAACTTAGCTTCATTTTTCTACACGTCCATCTGTGATTGTCGTTTCAAAACTTGTCGATAATTTTTTTTGTTTTTGGTTCGTTACTGCCCAAAGAATAAAGTATTTTGCAAACTTTACATATGGCAAGTCAGCAGTGCTTTGAAATCCTAAATCGGATGCTTCGACTTAGACCCTCTAAAAATTTGAATCAAGTATGCAAAAATTGTCTATAGAGTATTAATAAAATTATAAACAATGAATTAGAAAACAGAAATGATTATTGACATTACTTTATTGTATAAAACACTTTTTTTATTATTAGAAAGACATATTAATATCGTCATTGAAGAATATGGTTTGTTTGTCTTTTAACAAAGTTTTATTTAGATAGTGATTAAGTGCGATGTGATATCTCGTGTAACTGTTTTAATCAAAATTGTAGTGAATTTTTTACCAAAAAATAATTGCTTTTGCAAAATTTACCAATAGGATTTTGGTAGTCTTAATCGCATATGTGATGGTTTCTCCCTTAAAGATACAATATTGGGTACTCTTTAATCTCTAGTATCCGTTAATCTGATAGACTGGCTTGTGGATGTTTATCTATTAAACTTTTATCTAATTAATACACAGAACCAACAATGCTTGACAAGTTCCATATTATTATCAATAATCCCTAACTAGAAGTAAAGTTTCGAAATGGCACTCAGGCTCTCTACAACCCCAAAATGACCAGACTTTTATAGTAGTACAGAACTATCAGTGAAATGCCATCTAAACATCGTAATTTTGCAATATGCAGTGTTACAAAAATCTTCATCTCTTTTTCGAATATCAATCCAGGTATGGATAAAGTTTTGGGAATACTGGTTTTCTCATGCGTCTCTGCATCTCCAAAATTACCAGACTTTTTATCTATAAGTATTATAGAACTACCAATTTGTCTCCATCTAAACATCATAGTTTTGCAATACGCAATGTTACAAAGAACCTTCATCTCTTCTTTGTGGAACGTCAACCCAGGTGCGAATAAAGTTTGATGTGGCAAATACAAAGCGTAAAAGCCGCTGGATAGTTCAATATTTTTTGGCCTTCAAACTTCACCTCGAAACTGGTATCTAAGCTTATCTAATGTGTTAAACTCTCATTGTAATAGCCTTTTTCATTGCAGTATCCGTCATTTACTGCTCATCAAAACTGAACCAAATTATTTTTATAGTTTAAATGCAAACTAAGATAACTTGAAGTATCTAGGTAGCACCAACAATAATTTTTTTTAAAAAGTAGTTTTTAATAGATATATATTTAAATTTTATTATCAAATACTTTAATGCAACAATTGATTCTAACGATTGCGATAAGAGTAATTACATGAACTAAACGTGTTTCATTATTTCGAAATAGATTACACTTAATTGTCTAACTTGAATTTTTAACGAAAACACTTTATTGAGCAAGCAATAATGTTTTTATTCGAATGTTTAAAATTAAATTACTCATCCATTAAATTTCAGTAATAATGTTTTTATACTAAGAATATGATAATTTTTTTCTTTTTTCTTTAGATATTAATGTTTTGGGTGACGGATAATTTCCTGATGCACAGAAATAAAAAAACAGCAAGTATACGAAGAAGTAGCGTTGAACAAACGTTACTGGACAAGGTTAGAGTTCAATATAGATCGATAAGGAGGAAAGATAAACGTCGAAACTCCGAGAGCGACATACTTTTATCTGGGGACGAAGACCTTCTCGACCATGAGGACGTCATCTATCAAACGCCAACGAAAGTGATAGTAACGTAAAACGAGAAATTGGTATAAAGTGTTCGTTTCGCGTGGTTGTAAGCTTATTTTATTTTTATACTTATAAAAGAGAATGAGAACGTAATAGAGTTAAACTTTAAGTTTTAAAAGTGAAGAATATCTTGAATTTGCATCGTGTGCCAAAAAAAAAACAAATAATAATAATAAAGACCATGAAATTGAGATGAGTAAAAAAGGTGTGATTCTTAATAAATAATGCTGGTCTAGTCATCAATAGTTATTAATTAATAATTATTGTCAGTGAATGTGAAATGGAAAATTTGTTATGAATTTGAATTGTTACCTTCTGTGACTGTGATGTTCTTGCAGACTGATTTTAGATTTAGTGGCCTACCAATTTTTTATATGTATATTTGAAAAAGTGCAGCAATAATTTTTTAAAACTAAGTGAAACAAAATCTACAAATATTAAAAAATGCAAATTTGAGATATAAAAGAAACTATTTCATTTTTACATTCATTTTTTTTATTTATAATCTTATTAGTAAAAGTGGAGTGATATAATAGGATTTGAAGACCTACAATCAACGCAAATGGGGTAAATGATCTGGTTACGCGGTCTAAAAAAATCAAAACAAGCACATTAAAAGTGTTTAAAAACGAGACGTTAAAAAAGTTGAAATACTTTGGTGTTCTTTAAGGATACTTTTTTTGCTTAATTTTTGTCTTATGTACTTTTTGTTACTTTGTAAGATATATTTTTGTGTTATTTTCTTATTACCAACTACTTAGTTTACTATTAACAGCTACAAACTACGAATACAAATCACCAAATATTAGTCCTAATATTTATTGTTTTGTGATTGTTACAATTTTAATGATACAATTGTTATTATTATACGATATGTACATAAAACATGAAGAGGGAATAAATTTATTTTAATAAAAATGTTGATTTTTTTTGCAGTCCTCTATAAACATATATTTTTTTAATTAATTGCACATCTTCCTGCATAAAAAAAATTCATATTTTTTAAATCTTTATTATAAATTATAAACATTTTTAAAATAGAGTTTACAATAATTAATATGAATTTTAAATGATCTAAAAAGTACTATTTACAGATTAAATTAGAAAGAAACTACATAAATTATAATGACTATTTTTTTGTAAATTATAGGGTAATTTTTGTATTAGTAGGAAAATCTTAATTATTTACAGCATTACATTCTAATTTTATAAAAATAGCTGTGATTCAAATATATTTTTCAATTAAAAGTTAACGTTATTATTAATGTTTATTTTAGTATGTACAGCTGTTCTTGATTTATGCTGTTAAAGTTTATCATGTATTTTAGGGCTAAAATGGTGGTGCTACAATAAAAAAAGTTCATTTATTTTAAAAAGCCCATCTTTTAAATTAATTCAGATGATTTTTTTTATAATAATGTTGACAATCTAGTTTTTACCTATCATGAGCCCTAAAAAAGCGAACTTGATGTAAATAAAAGAGAGCATATCATTATTTTGCTCAAAAAAGGGAAAAGTATACGACAAATAGCAAACATTTTGAAATTGACATACAAAATTGTTCGACACAACGTACAGAATTAGAAAGAAACTAATTCTACTGCTAATAAACAATGTTCAAGGCGGTTAAACATATTAATGGAGCGCGAAGAACGTGCTATTGTGAATGAAGTTAGCAACCTACCACAAGAGCTGAAGCTATAACACTTGATATCGCGGACACACTGGAAAAAATAGTATACCCAGAGACCGTAAGAAAAATGCAACTTTGCTAAAGAATATGTTTGTTCGTTCTTGTCGTTTTGGAAAACAGTAATATTTTCTGATGCAATAGAACAGAATATTACATTTTATTGCAAAATGTTAAGGAATGGATGCTCTACAGAGTTCCTAGAGTTCCATCACACCGCCTCAATTTCCAGACTTTAACCAACTACAATGATAGCCAAGAACTATTTAAAAATTTTAGAAGATCATTTGCATCAAAGCGCAAGAAAATTTGGCACTGAAAAATCATTTACGATTTAACAAGATAATGATTAGAAACATATCACGAAAAATGTTAAGGAATGGATGCTCTACAGAGTTCCTAGAGTTCCATCACACCCCCTCAATTTCCAGACTTTAACCTTATCGAGTTGCAATATAAAGCTTTCTGTAACTTTAATTTAAAATGATATTTATAGAGTCTCGGTTTACTCAGGAGAAATGTTACAATATGTTGTACGACATGAACAGAACTTCTTCCGCAAGCGACGTCAGCTTAATTAGGAGAAATCATTCGTTCTCTATAATCGAGTTCGCTTGCGGCCGAGGCACCTCAATGTATTGTATATTTTGGATTGACGTAAGATTTATAGAGCCTTGGCCTCAAGCGACCTTAATCAGGAAAATCATTCATTCTCCACACTAAAATTAAGCGATGCCGATTACGGCCAAGGTGGTGCAATATGTTGTATACAAGTGTCCCGCAACGATTGTACAATACTGCATCAGCGTATTCTTTGATCGCAAATAAACAAAAAAAATCTAATAAACATAGTTATGTAAATTATCGAAACACAGATGTGACCTTTACATTTGCATAAAATTTAATTTATATCAGTACCAGTTTCGAAGTTTTCACTCCATCATCAGCTGAAAACAATACAGAGAGCGTAACTATTATTAAAATATGTAATGGATATAAAAAAATATGTAAAAATATGAAAATATATAATAGTTATTTATATTACAAGTGGGCTAGAAACTCGTGTGATTACACGACTCGGCCTACGACCTCGTCGTGCAATTCTCCACACTCGTACTGTAATTATGCTCTAGCCCACGTGTGATATACAGCATTTTATCTACGACTGCGAAAAATTACTGCGGTCACAAGCGACCTCGGCTTAATGAGGAGAAATTAGTCGTTCTATGAAGTATGTGGCCGATGCTTTACAATGTGTTGTATACTTTGGCCGCAAACGTCTTCGGCTTAATTAGAAGAAATCATTCATTCTCTATACTAAAGTTAAGCGAGGTCGGTTACGGCCGAGGTGCTACAATAAGTTGTATGAGATGCACAGACCCTCGACCACAAGTGACCTCGGCTTAATTAGTGGAAGCCATACATTCTGTATGTACACTTTGTTTTTCCAAGTTGTAATCCTGGTACGAAACTGATCGTAAAATTATTGAAAATGTAATATGTTCCATGCCAAGACGGATATAAGCAGTAATAGATGCCAATATACGGGGTGTGTCAAATGTCTGGGATATAGCCAAAAACTTCGCCATTTGTGGTTTTAAAGAAAAATCTTTCAAATAAAAAATTCTTTGTTAATTGTAGTTCATTTTACGTCGATATTTGCTTGTTTACATTGATTTTTGTTTCGTTGCTATGGCAACCAACATTGTCATTTTAAATAGGATGCATATGTTTTTTTGAATATTTTGATAGACGATAAATCCCTCTACGCGATGAACATATCAAATCATATGATTGTATAAGAAAAAAATCGAGAAAAAGTGCGCTCTGCAAATTACAATCAGCTTTAAATGTCAAAAAATTGTCAGTTTAAACAAATATGGCGCAATTAAGCGAACAAAGAATCCAAATATTAATGATGTATGGGTACGGTGATAGAAAACGTACTCAAAGTGAAATTTGTACACTGTTAAACAATATTTACCCAGATACACAATCCACAGTATCCAAAATATAAAAAAAATTCTTTAATACCGGAAGTGTTAAAAATCTTCCAAAAGTGAACGGCCGAAGACAGCTACCAATGATGAAACTACATTAAATGTGTGTACCCATATATTATTAGTTATTCATAATTGTTGAAACTGTCATTTTTTGACATTTAAAGCTGTCAACAGCGTTATTTCGGCGCCTACTTCAATTATAATTTGCTGATATCTTCAGAAAACGCATTTTTTCTCGGTTTTATTCTTATAAAACTATATGTTTTGATATGTTCATCGCATAGAGGAATTTATCCTCTATCAAAGTACCCAAAAAAAACATATGTATCCCATTTAAAATAACAATGTTGGTTGCCATAGCAACGGAACAAAAAACAATACAGATTGCCATGATTAATAAAGAAACTTGTATTTGAAACATTTTTCTTTAAAACCACAAATGGTGAAGTTGTTGGCTACATTCCAGACATTTGACACACCTGTATAATATTGAAACTAAATGAATTCTGAGTCAAAGTGATAAGAAAACTTTAAAAGTCATTAAAGAGAAGGGATGAAATTCTCCATATTTCTCAAGAATAAATAATAAAAATGGAAAAAGTAAAAATTTTTTGTGAAAAATAACAAAATACTTAATTTATTTCAATAAATAGACATGTTTCGAAATAAATGTTTCATCTTCAGTACTTAAAAATAATTACAAAATTATGGAAAATTTTTTAAAAAAATGTTGGGAATAGATCTGAATTCTAGTTATTTTTCTAACAAACAAAATACTTCTAAAAAATTTTTACAAAATTCAATTAAATCCTTAAATTACTTGGAAATTAACTTATGATAACTTATTCATAAGTTAATTTCCATGTACATTTTGTAATTATTTTTAAGTACTGAAGATGAAACATTTGTTTCGAAACATGTCTATTTATTGAAATAAATTAAGTATTTTGTTATTTCTCACAAAAAGTTTTTACTTTTTCCATTTTTGTTATTCATTAAAGAGAGCTTTAGAGTTTACTGGCAATTTAATAAGAAAGCTAGGGTTGAGTTGGGTTGACACTTGATCATAATTCTAACTTGTTACTCTCTTGTAAAAAATTATATATAAAAAATATGTTTTCAAACTTTTTTTTAGGTAATAAACGCTAAATCTTCAATTTTAATTTGATAAATTTAGAAATAAATTACTTTTATAAATTACGCGTTTATGCGGAGCGGGCGTCATATTTTACTGAATCAAACCTGTATTCTATGCCAATATGGCGACTTCAAGAACAAATCCCAAAAGTATTTCGAAAAAGATCACTTGCACAACAGTTAATACTGTTGTGCAAGTGATAGTGCAAGTGTAGTGTACTATCAAAAGTTCCTTTACTATCTTATGCTTCTTAGCAAATTGGTTGCATTTAATAGTAACTGAAGATAGAGTAGTTTGGAAAAGTTCATGCAGAACCTTCATGTTTACTATTGTTATTTCTTGTAACTTGTGAGAATATATTGAAGGTTTAAGCAAAGAAAAAGTGGAACCAAAAAGTAAACAATTGACTTGGAATGTTAATTCTTAGTGAAACAAATTGAGTAATAGTGCTGTTAATGAAGTTGTTAAAAATTTTGTACAGGGCAAAAAGAACACAATAAAGGCGTTTCTTGTGAAGATGTTATCACTAGAATTAGAAAATTTGAAAAAAAAAACAGAATAATGTATTTCTGTTTCACAATTCTTCTTTTAAATTCTAAAATTAACCATTTTCCTCATTTTTAAAGTTTAGAAAGATATTTAAATGTTTAAATAGTAATAATGTCATTAGTGGTAAGATCAAATGCAAATAAAATTTTATGGTAAAGAAAGATCGAATAGAAAAGATGAATCTATAATTCAATTTAAATTAGTCGCTAGATGTAGATTTAATGGAGGATTTTCTATAGTTTGTAGTTTTTGAAAAAGTTTTGTATTAATTTAACTCTAAAATACATAACACTTATTCGTCAGCGAATTCAAGCACATCTGTATATTTCTAAGCAATAAGTTATTACACAATAAGCAACTCTAAAATTACCTAACAAAACTATTTCGTTGTTTGAGGGAAAACTCTACCAAAAAAATATATATATTGATTGCTTTAATTAAAAATAAAGAAAGCTGTAAATATTGACTTAGTAAAATCTTTGTGCTTTGGTATTGAAGTTCTATTTTTAACTTAGAACTCAGTCGTAACGGATAATTTATAACAAGAAAAAAATTGTGAAAAGAACTACTGTAATAATTATTATAAATTAATTGCTTAAAAACCTCCAACTTTAATATTTATATCATTCATTACTATTTCATTTTTTAACAAAATGTTCTAACTGAAAGCACAAATCCACACATTATGTATATACACTTAAAGTTTCTTAAAATTTATTTACATAATCGCGTAATGTTCTTTCTCTATTCATATTTATTTCGGCTGATTATTATAATCAACATAAACTCGCACAACTTCACCTGAATACTTCCTTTGTGACGGCATAAAATAAAAGTCTGGTTGCATATCGGGTTGTTGTTGCCGGTGTCTTTCGTAAGCCGTTCTTGGCAAAGAAAACGTACTTCTTTCTAAATTTCCTGGCGGATATGCTCCTCTGGGTCGTTGTAAAGATCTTGTATCTCCCATGTATCCTGTGTGTTGATGTGGGTGTTGTCCGTAATGTGGTTGCGTTTGTTGCATGTGCATTGTTGCGGGATTACCTTGCGTCCTATTTGGTAATTTACCTTGTTGTTGTTGTTGTTGTTGCTGTTGTTGACGTGCCTGTTTATTCGGTAGAGTTTCACTTCGAGTTCCTTTTCCGTTCATGTGTTTTTTCTCGTCATCATATGTATCAAAAGCGTAATTGGTATTTGCTGCTGAATAATCCTTCCAAGCCGAATTTGGAATTAGGTGATCCTAATAAAAACAAAGAAAAATAAAAATTAGGAAAAGAAATCTAATTTTTTTGAAATTTGTTAGTTAATTAAGTAGCTATTTTTGTATAATTTTTTTTTCTGTTTTGTGCAGAAGCGTTTTTGTTTAAACCTATTTGTGTGGTAAGTGCAGATTTTATTTTTGAGAAGATTTTTTATATCACACTCACCCCACCAGGCAGTTCGCGCTAATAAAAAGCCCCTCACCAGTTTCTGGTTCTTCCGTGGGCAACAGCCCAGTGGGGCTGCGTGCCTCCTCTATGGTAATTATGGTGGTAGTACACTGGGTCCAGCTGGACACTGTACACCCTCTACAAGAGTTACCCACAATAACAACACACATGTCAGCGCTTCGACAAAACAAACGTCGAAAAGTTCGTCTTTAGAAAAACGCTCATCATGTTAGTACCATAGCAAACAAAAAAAATAAGTAGTAGTAAATAAATGGATCAAAATAACAAAAAAGTAAGAAAATAGATGAAGTATCTAGATGATAGTTAATAAAATCGAAAGGAGAAATTAAAGGAACGAAAAGAAAAAAAAATGGTTTACTAATAACCTACTTGCCCTATAGATTTTGATTGGATTTTTGGAAATAAATGGTCTTGCTCACAAAGTCGTTACCTTATGACTCGATGACGATCTGCTGGCGGTCTTGTATATTGTACAACTTGCTTGGACGAGTGCCACAAGAACTAAAGCTGCGATGCAACCGATTACCAGGTAGAGTTTTGTTTCGGACAAATTGAAAAAGCCGGTTTTTGTTTGAGAAGTGTTTGAGACGATGTTTGATGTTACTAAAATATAATTGCAATAAATAAATATTTTAAGGATTTTAATTTTACTTACAACTTTGAGGTTCAAATTCAAGATAGTTTCGGTCAACGCGAAATCCACCAACTGTTCCGCTAAGTAATGAATCTCTGATGATTTTTTCAACATGCTCATCGTGTTTATCATCTTTCATTGATCTACCTTTTTCTAAAGTATTTTTATCTACTTGTAATTGCATCATTGCTATTATATCCTTATTCATTCTGGAAAAAATATATACAAATAATATTGTTTTACCAACAAAATGTATTAAATATATAAAATGTATCATTAAAATATTCCAAGAAATCGATTTACTATGAATTTTTGAAATTAATTGTTGAAAATTTTTGAGATTTTAATAAAAATTCAGAAATTTATTTCTTCACAACCAAAAGTTATTTTACAAAACGGCTTTTTGCCGTTTACTGAAAAGTAGACACTTTAATTGACACTTTGTGAAATTTCCATTCAAATATTCTTAAAAATTGATTTAATATGAATTTTTTAAATTAATTGTTGGAAATTATTGAAGTTGAAATTTTGATAATAATTCAAACATTTATTTCTCCACAACTAAAAGTTATTTCACAAAATAGGTTTATTTATTGGAAAGTAGACACTTTAATTAACACTTTGTGAAATTTCCATTAAAATATTCCAAAAAATTGATTTAATATGAATTTTTTAAATTAATTGTTGGAAAATATTGAAGACGAAATTTTGATAATAATTCAAAAATTTATTTCTCCACAACTAAAAGTTATTTTACAAAACGGCTTTATTTATTGAAAAGTAGACACTTTAATTGACACTTTGTGAAATTTCCATTCAAATATTCCAAAAAATTGATTTAATATAAATTTTTTAAATTAATTATTGAAAATTATTGAAGTCGAAATTTTGATAATAATTCAAACATTTATTTCTCCACAACTAAAAGTTATTTCACAAAATAGGGTTATTTATTGGAAAGTGGACACTTTCATTAACACTTTGTGAAACATCTATTAAAATAATCCAAGAAATTGATTTAATATGAATTTTTGAAATTAATTGTTGAAAATTGTTAAAGTGGAAATTTTGATAAAAATTCAAAAGTTATTTCACAAAATAGGCTTATTTATTGGAAAGTAGACACTTTCATTAACACTTTGTGAAATTCCCATTAAAATATTCCAAGAAATTGATTTAATATGAATTTTTTAAATTAATTGTTGGAGATTATTGAAGTCGAGATTTTGATAATAATTCAAACATTTATTTCTCCACAACTAAAAGTTATTTCACAAAATAGGTTTAATTGGAAAGTAGACACTTTAATTAACACTTTGTGAAATTTTCATTCAAATATTCCAAAAAATTGATTTAATATGTATTTTTTAAATTAATTGTTGGAGATTATTGAAGTCGAAATTTTGATAATAATTCAAACATTTATTTCTCCACAACTAAAAGTTATTTCACAAAATAGGTTTATTTATTGGAAAGTAGACAATTTAATTAACACTTTGTGAAATTTCCATTAAAATATTCCAAAAAATTGATTTAATATGAATTTTTTAAATTAATTGTTGGAAAATATTGAAGACGAAATTTTGATAATAATTCAAAAATTTATTTCTCCACAACTAAAAGTTATTTTACAAAACGGCTTTATTTATTGAAAAGTAGACACTTTAATTGACACTTTGTGAAATTTCCATTCAAATATTCCAAAAAATTGATTTAATATGAATTTTTTAAATTAATTGTTGGAAATTATTGAAGTCGAAATTTTGATAATAATTCAAACATTTATTTCTCCACAACTAAAAGTTATTTCACAAAATAGGTTTATTTATTGGAAAGTAGACACTTTCGTTAACGCTTTGTGAAACGTCTATTAAAATATTTCAAGAAATTGATTTAACATGAATTTTTTAAATTAATCGTTGAAAATTGTTGAAGACGAAATTTTGATAATAATTCAAAAATTTATTTCTCCACAACTAAAAGTTATTTTACAAAACGGCTTTATTTACTGAAAAGTTGACACTTTAATTGACACTTTGTGAAATTTCCATTAAAATATTCCAAAAAATTGATTTAATGTGAATTTTTTAAATTAATTGTTGGAAATTGTTGAAGTCGAAATTTTGATAATAATTCAAACATTCATTTCTCCACAACTAAAAGTTATTTCACAAAATAGGTTTATTTATTGGAAAGTAGACACTTTAATTAACACTTTGTGAAATTTCCATTAAAATATTCCGAGAAATAGATATAATATGAATTTTGGAAATTAATCGTTGAAAATTTTTGAGATTTTAATAAAAATTCAAAAATTTATTTCTCCACAATCAAAAGTTATTTTACAACACGGCTTTATTTACTGAAAAGTAGACACATTAATTGACACTTTGTGAAATTTTCATTAAAATATTCCAAAAATTGATTTAATATGAATTTTTGAAATTAGTCGCTGAAAATTGTTAAAGCCGAAATTTTGATAAATTTCAAAAATTTATTTCTCCACAACTAAAAGTTATTTCACAGACTAGGTTTATTTATTAGAAAGTAAACAGTTTCATTAACACTTTGTAAAATTTCCATTAAAATATTCCAAGAAATTGATTTAATATGAATTTTTTAAATTAATCGTCGAAAATTTTTGGGATTTTAATAAAAATTTATTTCTCCACAACAAGTTATTTTGAAAAACTTTGAAACATCTTTAACTTACTCTTTTATGCCATTAATTTTAATCCTTCTATATCCCGGAATTTTCTTAAATAATGGTTTAAAATTATCGTTAATCCTATTTGTTAATTCTTCAAAATCTGGACTGTTTTGCTGTGGAAGATGGAAATTCTCGCCTAAATCGACAATTTTCACCTTAACATTGTATCTTAATCCAGATGGTGATTCTCCATCCCCTATTTCATTTACTTCTTCTAAAAAAATCGATTAATCACATAATTTATTAAAATCCATTATTGTTAAAATACCGAATTCATTATCGCAAGCTCTAATGCAAATTTTCTCCATTGATACAAATGGTGTTCTTAAATGTTTTGTAATTTTCTTATTCACTGGGTTATATATTCCACCATTAGCTGGGAAAAACATATACAGACAATCATCTTCGGTAAACGATAAATCTTTGCTATCTTCGGTAGACTTTTTGCGAGTAAATCTCAAAGTCATTTCTCCATCGATTACGCTACCGTTAATGTTATAAATATCTTGAGATTCGTCTAATTTAACGCTTGTTGGTGAATAACTTTCAATCCATGTATCCATAACGAAAGTTTTACCAAAATTATCAACCCAACCAATTATGGCATCAGTATTAACCTTAAAAAAAGATTTACAAACGCTTTTAAATATTACCATGAGTCTTACCATGCTTGTATCTTTTGAAAATCCAATTCCCGTCCATTTATCAATATGTTTCGTGGTAATCATAAACTGAATCTCATCATTTTTCGAAGTGTACTTCCACTCTGCGTAGTAATCGCATGTGTGATTCATTGGGTTGCACTTTTTCGGTAATTGCCAGCTTCCAATACATTCCGATCCATCTTTAGGTTTTTTGTAATCATCTAAAAAAAACGATATAATAATTGTAATATAATATTACAATATAATTTTACAGATTGGCAAATCTATCTTGGCAGATGAAGGAGTGCGATACTAAATCGTTAACGTGATATAAGCAAATACAGGTAATTACGCATACACCTGTAATATTACAGTTTCTCAGAAATACATATCAGGTGAAATTGTAAATGTTTTGAATAATTAAACGAAGGTTTAATAGGAAGGCCCTAACAGAGAATGGATTCACGATTCAGGGATTTGCGATGGTAATCACAATCCGAAGTAAATATGATACAATCATAACCCAATTAATGCAGAAAGCCCTACTACATACTAGCACCTGGTGCAGAAATAATGGGCTGAGCGTTAATCCGAACAAAGTAGAAATAATCCCATTCACTCGAATTGAAGGTAGAGCTATTAACCTCAAAACAGAGGTCAAATACTTAGGGATAATACTAAACAGTAAATTAAACTGGAATTCCTACATCGCCGAGGTGAGGAAAAAGCCCATCATGGCTAACCAAATCTGCCGCAGGCTCCTTATAAGGAATTGGGGTTTTAAACCATGAATGGCTTACTGGGCCTATGTGGTAATAATCAGACCCATGGTCGTCTATGATTCATTGGCTTGGTGGCCAAAAACGAATCAGAAGAAAGCGCAATAACAAGTCGCACAAATCAACTAGCTTGCATGTCTTAACATAACGGGTGCAATGAGATCTTCTCCGACGGTTGCTCTTCAAGCCCTACTCGGTCTCACACCACTTCATTTGTATATACAAAAGGTGCGGACGAGCACGACGGATTTGCCCGTATGGACAGGTTCGTGGACTGATTTGCACGTGTGTAATCACGTGTATCACGCTCGTAGCAAGTTTTAGCACAGAGCGACTCCGAACCTGTCAAGGTTGTAGTAAGGTTGTTAACAGTGTGATGACGTAGTGTGAAAATTGTCTAATTAAAACAAATTAAAATAGTTAATATCATTTAATGAACAAAACGAAACTGAAAATCAACAGCTTCTGCGTTATTGTAATATTATTCTTTAAATAAATCGTGTAACCTCTAGTGGTAGTAAATCTATCAAGTTATCTTCCACGAGAACATCTGAAGGTGTCATCTGATTTGGCATATAATTTGAACTTCTTTTGCATAAAAAGCATACAATGTCATCTAACGTATTTACATTGGTTTCAATTGTATTTAGCAAAACTCTAAAACGATTAGACATAATGCCAAATGCATTCTCAACTACACGATGGGCACGAGAGACTCGATAAGTAAATATTTTTTGCTCATAATCAGGTATATTATGCGGGCTGTAAGGTTTCATAAAATTTTTTAAAAGTGGAATTACTTCATCACTAATGAATATGTCGTGGTCACATGGCGAAATCCGTCAGTTCCCGAAAATCCTAGGCAGTTCATGAAACGTCGGCATTTTGTGTAAATGTTAAGGATTTCGTTTTCTGACGAGGCTGTTTATGAAACGCCCGATCATATTCGGCAAATCGCGTACTCCATTGCGGTACACAATCTGCCGCAATAAAGTTATCGAAGGTTCACGAAACGACCAGCACTAACTAAATTAGCAAGCATAGAAATTCATTCTGGAAGAAGTGATGAGGAGCTGTTTAAAGAACACTACAGTCGTTACTACAAAGAAAAACCTAATAAGCGCCCGTACACGGTCGATCAACTAAAAGAAGTAAGTATTGATGTTTTTTGTTGTTTTGAGGTTATAAAATAGAGAATTAATAGATGGCGCTGGAAATTACTCAAGAAAAAAACAAAAGAATAGCAAGAAAAGCAGAAGAGAGTATTATTTACTGCAAACGTATGATGTTATGAAAGTAGGCGATCAACAACATGTCATAAAAAAAGTTAAGGAAAAAAACGATCCTTTAATTTATGTCATCCCAGAAGAAGAACTATTTGAAAGGTTATTAGATATTCAAATTATTTGTGGCCATGGGTCCAGAGATAAAATGATCAATATAGTTCAACAAAAATATTTTGTTCCGAGGCCTTGCGTAGAAATGTTCTTGAAGGCATGTAAATATTGTCAAACAAAAAAGAATAAAATTGTATCAAAAATTGTTGTAAAACCGATTACTTCTAAAGATTTTATGACCAGATGTCAAGTAGATTTAATTGATTTTCAATCTATACCCGACGGTGAGTATAAATGGCTATTGAACTATCAAGACCATTCCACCAAGTACGTATGTCTGAAGCCTTTACGTTCAAAACACGCTGTAAACGTTGCGGAAGAACTTTTGAAGATTTTTCTCCAATTTGGTGCGCCATCGATTTTGCAAAGCGACAATGGGCGTGAATTTGCGATCAAGATAGTAGAAGAGTTGAAAATCTTGTGGCCACAGTTATTAATTGTTCATGGAAGACCATCCTCAAAGCCAGGGCAGCGTTGAGCGTTCAAATCAAGATGTCGAGAACATCTTACGGTCGTGGATGAGTGATAATAAATCTACCAGGTGGTCAGTTGGGTGTTATTTTAAGCAATGGCAGAAAAATAATTTGTTGCACAGAGTGATAGGCCGGCCACCTTATAAGGCAGTTTTTGGTCATGACCCCAAATTTGGCCTGAAGTCAACAAATCTTCCGCCCACCATTCTTTCAAATATAACTACAGAAGAATAGCTAGAAAATCAGGAGAAAAAAATGGGAGTTTTTAGAGAAAAAGAACACGAACAGCGGTATGAAGAACCGGTCACAGAAGCAACGAAAGAGCTAGGCATCGAACTAGAGCAGAATGAACTGGATACTAACGAAAAGATCCAAAACGTAGACTCCATGTCAAGTGATAATATGGACTGTGGAATTGTTGAGCGAATTGATGGCGACAAAAGACGATGTAGTAATTTGTCCTGTGTGTCAGAGTGCAGTTATTGACCCATGTCAGATATGTGAAAAATGTAAAGTTCTCATACATATATCATGTGCTACTGATGACAAATTGTGCAATTTATGTACTACAGAACAACTAATGCAGTTACAACGGAAAAAATGTCAACTTGAAAGAAATGGTTACCTGATATAGATGTGGGAGACTGTGTTTTATTCAATATTGATCCCGTAGACCGCAGTCCAGGCGATCAACCTAATCTTCTTACAGTTGTTACTGACAAACGAAATGGTATTTACCAAGTTGGAACTGTAAATGGGATCATAAAGTCTTGGTTCAATAGGCCAGATCTGAATATTGCCACCAGCAAATTTATTTTACATACTCAGGTGGTCAAAACTACATTTCTTTCCATCAGAGAAGCTGTTTCCCTAGAGTCCTTATTCCAAGGACAAGGATTTGTAAAGTGTTCTTGTCAACCAAGCAAAAAACAGTGTAAAACGAACAGGTGCGTTTGTTTTAAAGTAAAAAAACAGTGCAATTCAAGATGTCATTAAAGTGGATCATGTGCTAACAAATAACTTTGTTGACAAATTTAGAATAAGTTTTATTTTACTATTTTTTAGATTTTTTGATTTATTTAACCACTGTAAAACAATAAGCAATAAAAACTAGGAATTAACCGGTGCTCTAGTAATCTTGATCCTTACAGAAGAATACGCTAACCGAAAATTCTCGCTTTCTGATTGGGTTAGCGTTTCGTGAAGTTAATCCTACGTTAATAAATAGACCCGACCCTTAGAATATCACTTCACTAAATGCCCAATAACATTGCTGAAATACAATCTGTCTATTTATTATTCTGTGCTGGTCGTTTCGTGAACCTTCGATGCCTTTATTGCGGCAGTGTGTACCGAGATGGAGTACGCGATTTGCCGAATATGATCGGGCGTTTCATGAACAGCCTCGTCAGAGAACGAAATCCTAGAATTTTCGGGAACTGACGGATTTCGCCATGTGACCACGACAAATACATATGGAAGATCGTAATTAATTCCTGCTAATCTATAGCAGGTTCCTTAAGTTCCGGCAAATTTAATGAATTTTGCATAAACAAATCATAAAAATCCGTGTTCTTTATGACTCCTCTAGCTGGTACTCGGCCGTTTGTTCCACAATTTACATAAATGAATTCATAATTTGCATTCACTATTGCAAATAAAACCACACTAAAGAAGCCTTTATAGTTGTAAAAATATGAGCCACTTCCTGGTGGTTGTCTAATGGCTATATGGTAAACATATGTTTACCATCCATTCCTCTGCTTTTGATGGAAACTGCTTAATTATTTAGGAAAAAGAGGTGGACCCAGTGTAGTTGTCACAGCTTCAAGACCCATTTACCGATAGTTCTCCTTCGGTCCAATGCGGTACACGCAAACGTACACGGCCGTAATTATCATGGACGAAGAAGAAACATCAGTTCTTGGATGCTGGTATAAAAGTTCTCTAGGATAATGACAATAATCAAGAATATTTTAAATCCTCAAAAGTGTCTCCACATTCTAGACACTTTTTTTCTCATTGTAGCCAAAAGACGTTCCTGTGCACTAATAGAATCTCTCATTAAAGTATTTTGACGTTTAATGCATGGCTTAACCAGATTTAACAATTCTTGAAATGTATCATAGTCTTCATGGCATAATTCTCAAGTATTTTAAATAATCCGTTGGCTCACAACTTTGTATGCAGTTTAGTAAATTGATAATAATCTTCATTCATATACGTTTTGGCGCCATTATTACGTTTGTTCTGGTATAAAGTTCGGAACGCAATAAAAATCAAATACAGGTAAACGTCGTTTTGCGCCGGTTCGATTTACGCCGATTCACAATTACGCCGGTTGGCGCCGGCGTGGGATTCCCCAGAAGATTTTTACAGACTGGTATAAAAATTATATTTGCCCTACTGTGCTTAAATTTTGTGACCGAAATAACCTTCCAATAAAAGCAATCCTCCCATTAGACAATGCCCCAGGACATCAGCAAAATCTTGACACCTTAGACACGGAATTGGATGTCAAGGCAATTTACATGCCCCCTAGCACAGCCTCCGTTTTATAACACATGGATCAGGGGTAATTTCTACCTTTAAAGCGTATTATTTGCACATAACATTAAAAGCAATGATTAAGGCGATAGATACTAATTCCAATGGAACCGTCAAAGATTATTGGCGATCATACAGACATTTTAAAAAGAATAAATAATCTAAAGTCTGTTTGGGACGAAGTGACAAACAATTGTTTAAACGGCGTTTGACGTAAACTTTTGCCTGGATTTGTACAAAGTGCAAGTGTAGAAGTGGTAAATAACATTAACATAGACGAGGACATCAGGCTTACACGCGAATGTGGATTCGAAGACGTAACAACTGAAGATGAGACCGAACTGTTAGACGTGCATGACCAACCACTCTCAAATCAAGAATTAGAAAAGTTGATCTAGGCATATGATCGCCCTCAATCAGAAAATTCCGAAGAAGAAGAGGAGGATGAGAAAGAAAATGATAGGAAAATCCTAAAAACTGATGATTTAACTCGTATCCCTTCCTCTAAAGAAAGATTAACAGGTGAGCTCTCTGAGATAGATGGGGATTACAATCGAAGCGCAAATGTTAAAAGAAGTGTCACAGCTGCCGTTCGACCTTATGCAAATGAAATTGGAATATATATAGAATATGTATTAAATTAATTAAAACAAACAACATCTCTCTCTCAAATCATCTCTCTCAAAATTCTAAGAACAATCTAACATTAAAACATGTTAGATTGTTCTTAGAATTTTGACATGGAACCTAACCTTATATCGTCCATTATATTTGTGTTCATTTTACGCCGATTTTGTTTACGCCGTTGTCTCTCGGAACGGAACCCCGGCGTAAAACGACGTTTACCTGTAATGGTCACACCTGAGACCGTTTCCTGTATAGCCAACAACGGATCGGGCGTGCGTTGGGTCGCGGTTACGATTCAAGTCAGAGTACGCGTAATGAGTGGAGGCCTGAAAACATGCTCTTCATTCAAGCTGATGCAGTTTAACCTCAGAAGACATCTCGAAATCTTCAGGGACCCATGTCTAAACCACTTGATTCAAATTAAAACCGATAGTATACCGACAGAATATAATGTCGATCAGCCATATAGGCCATTTAAGGTCATGTTTGAAAGCAGGGGAAGCAAAGGGAAAGGTGCCTTTCCCTGGTACACCGATGCTTCATGCTTTGTTTAGGAGGACAAAATACAAAAATTGTTTTTTTTTTGCGGTATAATAATGCTGTATCTGCTTACTGCACGACTGGTGTATAGTACTGTTTCGTAACTTAAGTCAATTTTTAAACAAACTGGTTTGTCATGAGCGTCTATTTCAAAATTTCAATAATACGTTTGGCGTACAAATTGTATTAAAAACTTCTCTGTTTTATAACCTTCAAATGAGGTATTAAGCAGAGCTAAATGTCTTTCTAATTAGCTACTAATAAGATAAGGATTTGCGCGTGTACAGTTTTGACACTAATAGGAATGTTTGATTTTGTTACAACAGCTGTATACGAAATTTCATTGTCGTAGATTGCTGGGATTATGAGGAGTGAATTGTCGTCCTAAATTCGTTAAATTGACCACTGCGCGCCTTAAAGGCAATTCAGGCCTACACGTGTGAATTCGCACTGGTCTAAGAGTGTACCAACAACTTGAGAAAACTCGCGGGGGGTAATGATGTTATTCTTTGGTGGATTCCAGGTCACAAAGATATTGAGGGCAATGAAAAGGTGGACAAGTTGGCCAAAGAGGCAGCTAGGATGCCCTTTATTGGATACCCAACCCGGAAGTGGACTACAAAAAAGCCACTTAAAACAGGTAATTAGTACATGGGAAGATGTAAAGGTAGCCTTGCACTGGAAAGAACTTCCAGGACACAGACAGATGAAAACTATGATAACTCCGTCGCAAAAGAAGACCAAAGAGGTTTTATGCCTCATCAAAGGGAATCTTAGCTCGCTCTCAGGTTTTCTGGCCAACCATACGCCCTAATATGAATTCAACATTGGAAAAGTTGAAGATCAAACTTGTCGACTTTGCATCGACAAGTCAGAGACCGCTGAACATATTTTATATGTTCATATTATCTATGGACATAAAGGAACAAGACTCGTCAAGGATCTAGATTTGCTCTAACCGCCCACCGTTTGCTTCGTCGCATTTAACCTTCACTGGGCAAGACAAATTTAACAAGATGTAGATCAATAAACTTACCCATAAAATCAATAATTAACGATCCTCTTTGTTTTCGATGTCCGTGATATTTTAACTCATCCGGTTTATAAAAGTCTTTAACGCTAATCTTTCCTGATTCAATACTGGAATTGGGGAAATGAACATATTTACCAGACTCTTGTCCTTGAGCCCAAACAACATGCATGTAATCGTCTTCTATGGAGTGATCTGAAGGTTCTTTTGCTAAAAGTTTTTTTCTAAACATTATGGTGGTAACTCCTTCCGATTCGAAGCCAAATGCAGCAATTAAATCGTTTTTGCCGCCCCAATAAACATCTTGACGTGGAGTTGAACGATCTCTAGTGTAATAATCGCCGATTCTATTGTACATTCCTCTGGCCATACCGATTACCATATCATTACAATCCATTGGATTAAATTCTGGTGCTAAAAGATTAATATTAATCTTTATTTTTATACGATATTAATGATTAATAGAAATAATTTTAAAAACTTGTCATGCATTTTATTAGTTTTCTACTCTACCTTGCTTCTTGGAAGGAACATTATGGTTTTTGCCTTGTTCTGGATAATTAGCTGGTTCGGGCTTTGGTTCCGGTTCTGGCTCCGATTTAGGTTCGGGTTCCGGTTCGGAATTCGGTTCTGGTTCAGAGGCGGGTTCTGGAATCGGTTCAGACTTTGGCTCCGGCTCTGATGTTGGTTCTGGTTCGGAACTGGGTTCTGGTTCAGAAATAGGCTCTGGTTCAGAATTAGGTTCTGGTTCGGAACTAGGTTCTGGCTCAGAATTTGGTTCTGGAAATGGAGATGTAATTGTGTTAGGCTCAGCAATCGGTTCTGATTCTGATGTTGGTTCGGGTTCTGATGTAGGTTCTGGTTCTGAATTAGGTTTAGGTTCTGAATTAGATTCAAGTTCAAAATTTGATTCAGGTTCTGAATTAGGTTCAGGTTCAGGTTTTGAGTTAGGTTCAGGTTCTGGTGCTATCGTTGGTACGAAGGGCGGTTCTTCTACTGAATCTACAAGAAATTTTAAAATAGTCCAACCACCGCTACTGTGTCAGTATAAAGAATGTGTTTTTTAATTTATTATAATTATTAATTTAAAATTTAGTTTATTACGATAAATTAAAAAAATAGTATAGATTTGTTAATGAATTAGAAAGAAAACGTTACGGTGTAAGTTATTTTTCACGTCGCTCGTAAATTTACGTTAACAATAAATTTTTAACGCCCAGTATTGAATCTCCAGTAAACTTTCTAATATTTTATGTTATTTTAACGACATTTTAAAGCTTTCTCGTATGTTTATTGAAGTATAAAACATAAACCGTTAGGTATAAATTGAAGCACCGTAACGAATTTTCACCTTCAACTCAATAATATACTACAACTATAAATTTTCTAAATAAACATCTAAAGATCTAAAACAATGTTAATTTATGTTTGAAAATCTCATAAATAATTAATTCAATATTTTAAATACATGCATTACGAAATTAAATTAAATACTTGTTGAATGTGCTTTTGTTACAAAGGTTAATTATCTTACCAAGATTTGTTTGACGCCTTTTCCTTCCTGAAACAATCATTAAAAACAAATTAAATTTTTTTCATTTATATATAAAAATGCATTTCTCCATAATCATTTAGATTTCAGAATTGAAATTTTCTTGTGTTATAAAAGAGTGATTCAGGTATCATTATGCCAAATTTTATCTTTTCAAAGTAAACGGTTTCTTAGATAAAAATTATTAAAAATTGCCCATTTATATTTGACGTTTTTTAAAAATTAGGTTAAGGAGAAAAATGGATTCCTTCAAAACCATTTAAAAAAAAATAAATCTAAAGAAATCTAAAATCATTTAGATTTCAGAATTGAAAGGATTATTATCTTGTTGAAACCAGAACACAGTTTTGACATAAATTACGTTTTAAAATATCCAAATAACTAGATTTTGTCATATTTCCCTGAATAAACTCCATAGTTCCAACGCAGCTGGCTGCCATTGATCCCCACATCATTACTAAACCACCCCCATGTTTAACTGTTCCGTTAAAATAGACTTTGAAATATACCGTATTTTCTCGAATATAATCCGCACCCTTTTTACAAATTTTGTATGCTCTAAAATCAAATGCGGATTACAATCGGATGTGGATTACATTGGAAAACCAACTTTTTTTACCATCATTGCAGTTTTAAAATCGAGGTGCGGATAAGATTCGAGAAAATACGGTATTTTGACGATTGTGCAGCATATATGAGTCAGTTTAAAATTATTAATTTTCGTAACTTTGAGAATTATTGCTTAACAATGGCTACATTACGAAGAGAAACAACTTTAGAAATAAGAAAACTAGAGGTGAAGTCATATTCTGAAGGTAAATCCATTAGAGATATTGGTAAAATTATTGGAAGACTTCATGCCACGGTACAAAAAATTGTGAATAAGTGGAGCTATGGAGGAACATTGAAGAACTCCACTGGCAGAGGCAGAAAGAAAGTTTTGACAGAATACGTTGAACGTAATTTTGTGCGTAAAGTTAATATAAATCCAAAAATAAGTGTTCCAAAATTGACGAATAGAAATAACAAAAATTCTAAGCAGACTACCAAGTAAATACAGAACTTTTAGACAAGCTAGGTTGTTTATAGATGAAGCAAAACAAACTCTTCGAAATTTATCATTAAGGTTGATTGATGAAAAAGCCAGCCTTACCGCAACAGAAACTGCAGAACACGCCTTAGCTGCAGCCTCCAAAAGAAACCAGAAAAGAAGCTTGATAAAAAGAAAATTACTTGTTACAATTGTAGGTAAAAAGGCCATTTTGCCAAACATTGCAAAAACAAAGTAGTATAGCAGGAAACTGCAAGCAATTCCAAAAACTTTGGAACTTTCAATTCAGCTGTAGATCTAAAATTTCGAGACGAGTACATAGAAGAAGTGTCCTATCATCCTATGAGTACTTGGGCAGTATAATATCACAAAATAGAAGGATAGATGTAGACATAAATGCAAGAATAAGGAAAACAAACAACGTATATCAAACTCTAAACAAACCAGTTTTTAGGAAGAAGGAGATAGATAAAGAGATAAAATTGAAAGTGTACAAGGCGGTGGCAATCCTAATATTAAAATATGCCAGTGAATCATGGACACTCCAAGATAAACAAGAAGGAAAGATCACAGCAATGGAAATGAAATTTTTACGGAAAATAGCGGGGAAGACGACGTGGGATAGGATAAGGAATGAAGAAACAAGACTGGGAGTAGATCAAAAGGAGATAATCGGCAAAATAGAGAGAAAGCAACTAAACTGGTAAGCCCACATATTAGAGTGGAACATAGTAATGGACACAATGGTAAAAAAGGTATTTGAAGGGAAGAATAAGGATAAGAAAAGAGGGGAAGACCTAGGAAGAAGTGGAATGAAAGAATAGCAGAAGCTTTGGAAGAAGAGAGGGAAGACTCTAGCAGATATAAAGAAATTAGCCAGGAACCGGAAGGAGTGGAAGAGGTGGATGGAGGAATAGGAAAAAGATTTATCCGATGCTATCAGGCATAAGGATCAGGAGAAGAAGAAGAGGACATATGGATCCCACGTGACCTTCAATAAAAGGTTGAATATTGGTTTTCGTCCTACGAAGAACAGAATAATTTAACTATAAAACTTGACAATGGAGAACAGTTGATAGTAAAAGACATTGGAAGAGTGAACATAGCGTGCTTAATTGCATCAACCTGAAGGAGATGAGTAATGAACGATGTATGGTATGTTCCGGACTTGAAGAAAAATCTTTTCTCAAAAGGAGCAGTCACCAATAGAGGAATGTAAGTAATCAAAGAAGCAAATGAGTCTAAAATAGTCGAAAACTGTGTAGTAAAAGCCGGTACGAACAGAATTGTTACAAATCTGTACAAATTAGCAATCCGAACTACAATTCCAGAAGTGAACGTGAGTTCCTCAACTTCTTTAAAAACTTGGCATGAATGTTTAGGCCATATTAACTTCAAAACGATGAAAGAAATGGTACAGAAGGGTGTCATAAATGGAATGTTACATGATGTCTGAAGGCTTACGTGTGGGATAGCTGTAAGTATGGAAAACAGCATAAATTACCATTTGACAAAGCAGAAGCGAGAAACACTAAACCAGGGAAGTTCATACATACGGACTTGTGTGGTCCTATGTCCGTTCCCTTCGTAAGTGGATGTTTGTACTTTGTTCTGTTTAAAGATGACACAAACGTGATACATTTGAGGTTATTGCATTTAAACAATAACTCCATATATCTACAATAAATAGAAGAAAGCGCTTGGAGTTTGCGAAAGCTTGTCTAAATAAGCCTCAAAGCTTTTGGGAAAGATCACTGATGAGACTAAAATTAATCTTTGGGGTTTAGACAGAAGGCAAATAGTTTGGAGGAAACCAAATGGTGAGCTCAAAAACAAGAATTTTTTTCGGGTATTCTGTGAGGATTAATGGCAGCCAGCGGCGTTGAAACTATGGAGTTTATCGAGGGAAATATGACAAAATTTAGTAATTTCGATATTTTAAAACGTAATTTATATCAAAGCTCTCAAAAACTCAACCTTCCGACTGTGTTCTAGTTTTAACAAGATAATGATCCTAAATATACATCATACCTTGTGAAGGAATGGTTATTTATTATACAATACTTCAAAACAACTAAAAACACCACCGTGAACAACCGTCAACAAAAGTGAATTGAATAATGAAATTTGTAAAATCTTGGTCTTAATATACATGGGGTCGCAAATGTTTCGTTGGCGAGATATAGCGGATCAAAGTTTCTTTAAAATTAAACATTATCTGCAATAAAAAGCACTTTTTTAAAACTATTATCTACGCCATTGCTCTCTACGCATGTAAAGTGATCAATTATCTATCAATTGGTCTCTTACAAAACTTTGATCAAAGAAATAGTTTTTAAGAAAAACACGTTTGTGGAAAATTTATTAATTCAATCAAAAACTGTTGCTTTAATCAAAGTTTTGTAAGAGACCAATTAATAAATAATTGATCACTTTACACGAAAATACTGCCCGTTTGACAAAATTAGCAGTGGAGTTGAAAATATTTTTAAAATAGGGCTTTTTATTGCAGATAATGTTTAATTTTAAAGAAACTTTGACCAGCTATATCTCCTTAAGGAGACATTTGCGGCCCCATGTATATTAAGACTTCTCATCTTAATTTTTGATGTATTACCTGCCCTAGAAGTCTGTCAGCGGTTTTTTGAATCACCCTGTATATTTGACGCTTTTTTAAAAACTGGATCAAATCGATTTATATTTGTTAGCATATGTTAATGAAATACTGATCAAAAGTTAATTGTAGCATCTACTTTTCAATTATTATATCTGTTTTAAAAAATCATTTTTAGTTTGTGATATACCAAGTTTTGAATTGAATCAACATTTATGGCAACGTTTTCATTTTGCCAGGTTTAGTTTAGAAATGAAATGTTCATCGATTAACATTTAAAGCATAAACTTTTCAGCGATGAACCATTTTGAGAAATCATATTTAGTTTTTGAGATAGAAATTTTTAACTGTTTCCAAATTTTTAGCAGCATTCCAATTTTACTGAATTAACTTTCAAAGTACGTAATAACTAGATATCTTAAGGAATCTTTATATAACTTTGACAAATTATCAATTAAAGCTTCTATTTTTCAATGATAGAATCCATTTTGTAAAATTACTTTTAGTTTTTGAGATAAACATTTTTGAATAAATTGAAATATTTGGCATAATTACAATTTTCCTGAATTAATTCTCAGGTTTCTATTTATTTAAATATATTAATTTATTACATATTGCATACCTTTTTTAATGCTAACTTGATAAGAAACACTCGTTGTAACAAGTCCATCATCAAAATGATTCGAATCAGGTTTTCCAGCAGCTCGACGAGCATACAAACTTTTTTTGGTAGTTGGTTCAGGTTCTGATGTTGGCTCTGGTTCGCTGGATGGTTCAGGAATAGGTTCACTATTTGGTTCGGGTACCGGTTCACTATTTGGTTTCGGCTCAGGTTCCGCATTCGGTTCAGGAGAAGGTAACGGCTCATTTTTAGCTACCGGTGATGTTTTAACATCTTTAGGAGGAAATTTAATCAATGGGAAATTTCTGCAAGCAGGTGTTAATGATAACGGTCTCCATCCAACAGCTGCGTAACTCGTCGTATTCACCACCATGACCATTTCAATTTCTTGTTTTGGTAAGATTTTCCAGTAAAGATTAAAATCTTTACTGAGCTCTTTTTTCTTGTAGGTTGATAAGTTTATTTGAGTACTATTTACGGGGGATCCTTAAAAATGGTGTTTATAGAATTAAAATTATTAAAAAAAAGATAATTTACTTCTTGTACATCCGATTCCAAACCATCCCATTTTGCAATAGCATTGCTTTTGTGGTGCCGTTGTCGCTTCTATATCAATACATTTCCCTTGGGCACCACAATCCTTGTCCTCGTTGCATTCGTTTTTGAATTGACACCGATCTCCAAAGTAGAGTTTATCGCATTTACAACTACCAAGATAAAATTTTCCATGGTGGCTACAAGATTCTCGATATTCTTTTTCTTTAAAAAACAAAATAAATAATAACGTTTATAACATATGTAAGTAATTTTCTTACTTGATTTTATATCTACATCTGCACAAGACCAAAACATGTATTCTTTTCCCCATTCTGAAGCTTGTCTAAGTAACCTAAGAGTACAATTTGAGCAGGTGTAATTTGGAGAAAGTTGTACTTCAAATCGTTGTGCTCTAAAAAAATTTATTAGATGATAATAAAAATTTTAAATATAACACTTACGTTCCATCATCTGAAAGGAATTGAGAACCGGTTATGGTAGGAGTTAAGTCTAATACTGGTCTTTCTAATGCGTCTAACACTTGTATTTTAAACCCACCCTACAAATTAAATGTTAATGTTAAAATAAATTAATTAATATTTAGCTTACTCGATGTGGGTAACCAAGATGCCATGATACATTAAATTTACTCCCCGCTTGAAAGGAAGTTCTAAAGTTACCTAGAAAAAAAGAAAGTAACAATCATTAATAAAATTGCTTCCTCAACAATCATAATCGTAATTCATTAATTGGTTCGAACTAATCGAAATCGAGGAAATTGACTGCAATTAAATCCGCAACTTGTAAGTGTCATAGTTAGTGTAAGTTTGTATAGCTTGGCAAATCTAATATCTTGGTCGTTGAGCGTCACATACATGGAAGAAGATTTTTAAAGCATATTTGATGTACATATAATGCACTATAAATCATTTCTGATTTTTCATAAACATCTTTGACTGCTATCGATGAAATATCAATTTAAAAAATCGTATCTCAAGAACAAATTGAGATATCGTCATGAAATAAAGAACATTTTAAAGCAAATTTAATAAGGATTAAATGTGCCATAAATAATTTCTTATTTTCCATAAACATAATTGTTATGATTTTTTAAATCCAACTCTGCATTTCTGATTGTTATAGATATGAAATATAAATTTTAATAAGTTGTATCTCAAGAACGAAGTGAGATGTCATCACGAGATTAAAAACATTTTGAAGCAAATTTCATGAAGATTTAATGTGCCATAAATAATTTCTAATTTTTCATAAATATCACTATTATGATTTTTTAAACCCAATCAATACTTTATTTTTTAATTCGGAGGAGTAACATGAAAAGTCACGTTTACACAGTGTAATTTTTCAAAGCTATTTTTGGGCGGGAGTTTTAAAAGCAGAGAGAATTTTAAGTAAACTGTAGTTACCAATTTAATTACTTATTTGTTTAAACATAATAAAAACCAGGGCGTACCTACTTACTTTGTTCCACATAAAATGCAACATGTCAATATATAAGTACGAAGGCTTTCACGGTCGGTGTTAATTGAACTAAAATTAGAACTAACACTAGAAACTTTCGGGTTTTGCCGTGCTTTCGGTTTAGTGTTAGTTCTAGTTTTACACTATCACTAGAACTAACACAAGACCTAGAACTAGAATCATTCGGGTTTAACCATCTTGAGAGACGTGCGGCTAAATAGGAATGTTTCTAGTTCTCGGTCTAGTTTCAGTTCTAGTATTACACTAGCACTATCACTAGAACTAACACAAGACTTAGAACTAGAATCATTCGGGTTTAGTCGTCTTGAGAGACGTGCGGCTAAATCGGAATGTTTCTAGTTCTCGGTTCAGTGTTAGTTCTAGTTTTACACTATCACTAGAACTAACACAAGACCTAGAACTAGAATCATTCGGGTTTAGCCATCTTGAGAGACGTGCGGCTAAATAGGAATGTTTCTAGTTCTCGGTCTAGTTTCAGTTCTAGTATTACACTAGCACTATCACTAGAACTAACACAAGACTTAGAACTAGAATCATTCGGGTTTAGTCGTCTTGAGAGACGTGCGGCTTAACCCTTTGTGTCCCGACGGTACTTTAAAGTACCGGCAGTTTTAAGCACTCATTTTAAACTGTAGTCATCTATTCGGCTCATTTAGAGCTGTCGGTACTTTCTACTATACAAGAAGGAATCTGTATAAACAATAACGCAATCCGCACTGTAGGGTTTTTCGGTATATTTATACTTATTCATCCAGATGTGAGGTTAGAAGTTTAGTGAAAAGTGGTGTTGCTGAATTTTGTTGTCCAAAAAGGCATCTCTTTGATAAATGGTTATTAGGTGTGATTTGTAAGCAGTTTCGTGTATTGTTTACGTATTGCAATTATAATTTTCAAACATTTTTTTGTTTTATCCCGAAAAAAGTCACATTTTGTAAAAAGTTACTAACATAAAAGTACCGTCAGAATAATAACAGGTACAATATTAAGATTGACGTAAAAATGAGCCAAGCGAATACAGATACGTTTTGGTACTTGAACAAAGCTTTGACTGATGAAGAACTTTTGGTTGAGGTTGAAAAAGTTTGTGTGAATTACAAAATATCCCGTTGGATAATTCTGAACAGACAGACATAGAAGATGACATTGTTATAACTAGTGCTAGTGAGATACCTATGCTGGAAGATGAACATGAAGAAGAAAATGGTGAACAACTAACTAATCAAAATAAGGAAAGTGACACTGAAGTAGTAGAAATACGTGGCAAAAGGCCCAAGAAGAAGAACAAGGCAGAAATTGATAGAAAATTGAGAAAACGGAAAAAACAGGTTATTGATACGATTATCCAGAAGGAATAATTGGTGATACTTTTGCAACTTGCAATAACCAAACAGATTATTTTCTAACACTGATGGATAACTGTGTGAAAGATATTACCTTTCAAAGTAATTTGTACGCCACCCAAAGGAATAAAACGCTAAACTTGAAAGAAGAAAAGTTGCTGTGTTTCTTTGGCATAAATAAAATTTCTTAATGAGTTATCATAGTTTGCCAAGCTATAAACTTTTCTGAAGTAATGCTGAAGGGTTGGGTGTACTACTTGCCATACGACCAATGACCCGTAATAGGTTTCAGGAGATTTTATCATATCTGCATGTCAACGATAACAGCATTATTCCTACGAACAATACGGATAAACTATACAAGATCCGTCTGTATCTTCAAACACTTAACCGTCAGTTATCCAGTTATCATCATGGAATTAAGCAGTTGGCTATGGATGAATCCATGATAATCTTCAAAGGGGGGTCAAGTATGAAATAATTCAATGCCATGAAGCCCATAAAAAGGGGTTATAAGCTCTGGTGCTTAGCAGATAAGAAAGGGTACATAAATAAATTTGATGTGTATCAGGGAAAATCTCCTGAAACTGAAGAAAAATTATGGATTAGGTGAAAGGATTGTCCTGATTTATTTCGATAACTTTTTTACAAGTATCCGTCTTTTGGAAAAACTGAAAATTAAGAAAACCTTAGCTTGTGGATCAATAAGGTCTCACAAAAATGGTGCACCAAAAAATTTGATAGATGATAAACGAATGAAAAGAGGATATCATGATTACCGGATCGTAAATTTAGATATAAGTTATTACAAATGAACGGACAATAAGTACGTGAAATTTTGCTCTAATTTTCATGGAACAGAAGAGACCACCGTAAAAAGGAAGTAAAAGAATGGAACGAAAATTGATGTGCGCTGTCCTTCAGTCGTTGATGATTACAATAAAAACATGGGTTCGGTAGATCATGCCGGTCAACTTTGACAAGTGTATGCAATCGGCCGCCGTTCCAAGAAGTGGTGGCACGGGCTTTTTTTACTGCGTCCACGAAAATGTCGTAGCGCAAGTTCACCAGCCCAGTTACCCAAAAGACGAAAGTACGGCTATTCTGTTACTGACGACGTAAAACTTGGGAACCGTGGTACGCAATGGATTACTTTTGGAAAAGAAAGAGGAAGGTGTGAAAATTGTTCTGCCAAAGCTATATTGAGTCCAGACCCCACTCAAAATGGACTGCGCGCAATGTTTATTTATGTTGTAATGAAAGAAAGAACTGTTTTTCTGAATATCATAATGTGATTTAGCTAAAGCAAGTGTTACTTATTTTTTAACGTAATAAGAAATGTATTATTTTCATATTAGCAATAAAAGTTTTTGTATACTGCAACATCACTAAAATATATTTCAATGCCTGACAGTACTTTCAAATACCACTATACCCCTGGTAAGTTTCAAAATTTTTGACTTCTTGGGACTCAAAGGGTTAATCCCAATGTTTCTAGTTCTCGGTTTAGTGTTAGTTCTAGTTTTACACTATCACTAGAACTAACACTAGACCTAGAACTAGAATCATTCGGGTTTAGCCATACTGAGAGACGTGCAGCTAAATCCGAATGTTTCTAGGCGGTCGGCAACATCTCGAATTTTCCTAGTGTAGGTTTTGCTTAAAACTGACCAATAGCAACCCTTCTTTTTGGCGCTTCAATTTGAAAACACTCCCCGAATTAAAAAATAGAGTATAGGCATGTTTAATAATTATAAGAACAGATATTAATAAAAATTGTATCTCAAAAATTAATAGAAATATCATCATGAAATAAAAAGCAATTTAAAGCAAATTTACATATGTATTTAATATTTTGAAGATGGTTTTATCAAATTTCAGATTTATGAATTTTTGAATTCAACCATATACATTAATGTTACTATCTCATTTCAACGATTATACGGCCAAGATACATTTTCCAAGCTATAGTTTCCCATAAAGAACTTTTTACCTCCAACTCTTCGTAGTTTTATAGCAAAACGACATAAATGTACTAAGTAAATCGAAAGCGTTGCAAATTAAATTAAGTTTTATCCTACTTTTTAATGACTTTGTACAGGAGTATCTTTAAAGAGAAGTTTCGTTTTGAAACAAGATCAGATAGGGTCGAGCAGTTTTTCGCAATGAATCCGGTTAGGCAATTCTTGCCGCCTACCGCTGTATTTGACTGTACCACCTTCGTTGGTAAAGTTATGCAGTTGCCGACCTTGTGCGGAGTGAATCACCGCAGTTGGTACGCGTAGTACTTAAATACGCCTTAATGGGATTCAACAAAAATAGATTTTGAAGTAGATAGATATATTATGACGAACATCTTTATTTCAAATTTCTAAATAAATCGTTTTCAAACTTTTTTAGAGAGTAAAACTTTCTCAATCTATGATCTTTTATATCTATATCTATTAAAAACACCAATTCTGCTATCGAATTGAATTGAAAATGAATCTGAAAGGAATCACTGTCCATCTCATCGAACAACCATTGAGTCACATCCGTTCCTCATCGGTTTCTCCGATAGTTATCTGTAGAAGATTTTCTTTCCTTTTGTTGCGCAAAACCCGTTATTTAGAGCAGAATTCCATTGCTAAACCGCGAACGAGATCGCCCCGCGTTTCTGCACGATCTCGGTTTGTAGATCTTCCATAAAAAAAAAGTTTTCGGAGGCGTGGTTGTTTGTCGTGACTAATTGGTGTGGCTACAACAAGAGGTTTTATTTTTCGGTCCGGTGGCACCGCAGCATTGCAACTTTACGAACTAACATCCTCTACAAAAACTGACATCCGTTTCTGATAAATAATATGTAGAGAAATTGATTGAGAAATAATTATTTATATAAAAAAATCTTACCTGGTGGCATTCCACATGGTGCTCTTGTTCTAGAATTATCCAAAAAATCTAAATCGTACTTCCTTGCTGGTGGGAATGTGAGGGAAACGTGAGCGAACGTTTCCTGTAGGAAAAAGTACAGGAAGAGCGCCGCCAACAGTATCCACGATAGACGTGACCCCATTTTCAATCACTACCGTTGCAGATAAATCGCTTTCACGAGTAGCATCACTGATTAATGACGTTGTTGGACTCACTTTATAGCTGAAACAACAACAAGAAGACCTTTCAAAAATAAATATTACAACTTTTGTGTCAACGATAGCCGTTTTCTATTTTGCCAGGCTTCGGCTATTACTCAACAACCAAATCCGTTGAATTTAGATGGTAGTGAGTGAGAGTATTACGAACGGCGGAGACCCTTTCCTAATGAAATAACGCCCGGAGGTGTATCAGCATTCTTGAAATGCACGCGACCAGCAAACCTGTTACCACTACTATTCCTTTTTATAGATACGGTGGCACTTAAATAGTCGATAGAATAAAACCTCTGGTTGACGTTGTTTGTGCTGAAGAAACTTGAAGGTTTCTGATTTGGTAATAAAATAGTTTTTTTAATTCAATATTTATTTTAACTATTTTAGAACATTAAGGATTCTTTAGGTATATTTATATTTCTATTAAAGCGGATATGAACGCTTTCAAACCTATATTTCAAACCTCTTCGGAATGATATTTTCAAACTTATTTGAATTTGAACAATCGAATACGATAAAGAACACGGCAAAATCAAGAAATTTATTGGTTTTATTAGAAATGTTCCTAATCGACTTCATTTTGCTCATAAACACTTATAATATACCTATCAAAATCTTACATATCTTTCGAAAAATGTTTCAAAAAATATATTGGTGTGATCAAAAATTAAATAAATCGATTTCGTTTTGCTTCTAGACACTGAGTGTCATCTTAAAAAGTTTATGGAAGTAATATGCTCAGTTTCATATGCAATCCACCACCCACTCAAATTCAAACTACAATTTTGAAACTTCGGTAAAATAATGCTTTATTATCAACTAAGAAACGATGAAAGTTTCCGCCGAAAAAACTCAACTGTTATGTTTCCTGTACCATTGTTATCTCCAACTTTCAATATTTTCTTCCTAGCAATCAATGAAGTTCTGCTCACAAAACGTCAATTTATTTGATTGTCAAACTGTTAGACGCCTTGTAATGCCTCCAGTACGACGTCGCCGAAATTTTGCCGATATCAATGACTTTGATAGGGGCCGAATTATCGATATGAAAGAGGCGGGTCTCTCATACCGAGGGATTGGGAGAAGGCTGAATCGGGACCACACTACAGTTGCTCGGATATAGTCTTTATGGTCCAAAGAAGGTATTCAGAGGCACCGTCCTGGTGGAAGACCAGCCCGAAGAAGTAACGCACATGAAGACCGACTCCTTAGGCGGGTGGCTATCAGGGATCGATTTCAAACAACAAGGTCGATGACAACTGTTTACAGAAGAATTTCTTCCTTTAGGCTTCATTCATACCGTCCTTACGTTCGGCTTCCATTAACACCTCCCCATAAAGCAGCCAGACTTGCATGGTGTCAAAAACAGCAAGGATAGGTTCATCAATGGAATGACATCGTCTTCAGTGACGAGTCAAGATTTTGTTTATGGGCGAATGATGGTCGTTCAAAGACGACACATAGTCTTAACATCTAGGGTTATGGCTTGGGGGGCGATATGTGCTGGACAAAGGTCACCCCTTACGTTCATTCCAGGCAAATTAAACGCACGTCGTTACATCGACACCGTTCTGGAACCGGTGTGGCTTTCATGCAGACGTTGCAGAATGCCACTTTCCAACAAAAAATATTTTTTTGTTTTAAGAATAGAAGTATTATCGAATGAAGTATATCATATTCTTAACATCGAAGACTATCAATTTTTTGTATCAAAAATTTCATTTTTGCGTGAATAATTTATATTTCTTAAATGAAGAATTATATAAGATTATTGTTACATGAATAAGTTTTTCTAAAAAGAAAGAGACCTTATTGTTGACTTAAAAAATCTTTTCCTTACACCAGGAGTATGCGCAATAGAGTTAAACTTAGCACATCGAAATCTAGATGATACAAATTGTGATATTACACCCTTTACACAATTAATAGACATTGTATTGACTTATAATTTAAAATAGAGAGTTGAGAGAGTTAAACAATAATCGGAAATTATTTTGTAAAATTATTGTATATCGAAGTAAAAATTTGTATAAATCGTTAAGAATCCAATCGAGGATGGCATTAGTTATAAGTTTAATATTTATAATCCGTTAGCGCATTCAAATAAAGAACATGAGAGTTAAATAAGTTTAGAATTGAGATTCTAACCTCACTTTTTAAATTTGACATAATCTTAAATTTGTTATTAAAAGACTTCAAATCACTTAAATATTATAATCAGGATACTTATTAGTTAATTTAACGATAGTTTGGAACTTAATAACATATATTGTTGACGAAAATCCATTTCGTAGTTACAAAGTTTTAACATCAAAAATTCATAACGTAGTGTGAAATTTTCGACAAATCGTTTGGTCAAATGTGAAAAAGAAGAATAATAAACCTTATTTTGGAGAAATTCAAAAGATTAAGGCAGAATTTAATAAAATTAATTTTATAACCTCAAAATAATAGAAATATTATAAAATGGATGACCCACCGAAAAATCCAACCAATCAAAATGAACCGATTTTCATTTGTTTCAAGAAAATCGTATATTTCACCCTTATATAGGTTGTTTTGTAGAAAGATTAATTTTATCTTTGTGGTGTTATTCAAATATATGCAGATGAGAATAGGTTATAGGGAATGGATACTTTATTGAAAAGTTAGGAGGACCTTGTCTATAAGTTTGAAGGTACGTATAAAATCTTTTTGAATAAATTAAAAGCAGCTTTTACGCAACATTTACGATACTGAACGATGCAAGAGCACATAGTTTAGTAAGTTTTTGTTGCGTATAAATAAAAAGCGCATAGTATATTTTTGAAATTTTTAGATATTCTTAGATTTTGATACACAATGCATGGAAAGACACCTACAATAACTTTAAACGGTTATTTGAGATAATATTAAAACTTTGGAAAAATATTTCCATTCGCTTTCATGAAGGACAATATGCTCTTGAAGAGCTTAACACAAATCAAGAAATTGCCTCTGGTAATTAACTATATATTTTACATTACCTACATGTTTATATTTATAATGTTTTGTGATGTACCTGTTATTTTAGGTATCACATTGGGACTTCAGTTTATGTTATTGCCGTATGTTCTTTCTCCACGAGGCAGAATTAACAGACGAGTAAAATTATAAAATAAAATTCAATGAAAACGATGAAAATTAATTTATTTTAAGTAATCGGTGCTACATATGTTTCGAGAATTGGATCTCGTCTTCAGGCACGACTAAAATAAGAGGAACGTGAGAAAATGGTAAATAAGAGGAACGTGGTAAAGGGGCGGGAAGTTATTCCCTAGGAAAACCTTATAGAAAAACTCATAGGAAAAATATTCCTTTATTATGGGAATACATCTCAAATTAATCTACATCTCGTTCGTTTCATTCATGAGGTGATCATTGACGTTATTAATCTTTATATGATATTCCTCCAGCAAGTCCATTTCTCTAGACTTTTTTATATTCTTGATCAGTTCGACGTCGTTGAAATTTATTAAATGACCAGTTTCTTGAATATGTTTAAAACCGGCAGACTTATCGTTGGAGATGTGTTCTTTAAATCTGGTGAAGATGTTTCGTCTTTTTATCGACACTTAATTTTGTAAATACCACTTAACTCTTTATCTTTGAATTTATGTTTGTTGTTGAAGATATGGTTGTATAGTTTATTGTGAGAGACAAAAGCTGGAGTAATATTAAATTTTGCCAAATTACGTGTGAGAGTGTTGACTATATTTGGTTGGTATGGCAGAGTAATAAATTTACGTTTCACTTTGCAATGGGGGTATATTATTTTATTGATGTGGGCATTATAGATATTGTAATATATGTTCTGTAGTTCTGAGATAGTATATTTCTTGTTTAGTTCCATCTTTATCATCTTTCTGATTTCATTTGCAATATTATCATCACTGAGCGGCACGTTATAATTCTATTGAAGAGAAATCTAAAATTGGCCATTTTATGTTGGTTACATGTGAAGAATCTTTCTGGATGATACTATCTGTCGACGTGGGTTTTCTATAAATATTAAAGATGTTGTATAAGGCTGTCATTTTTGCTAGATTTCCGTTATCACAATGTTATATTTTAACATATTTAACTATGTAGTATATGATCTTTACAGAATCCAGAAGAAATCGAACAAAACATGTTTGCCCAACGACGATTATATGCTGACCAAAAGATAAGTATTCGATTTGTGCTTCTTATGTGATCATTGATGACATAAAATATAAATGCGAGAAGGTAATTGATGCGATTGAATTATGTTTCAAGTCCGTCCATGTGACAGGAGCACAGTGTCCAACTCACAGTGGTTACTTGTGGACTCTTATTCAGCAAGGTATTTTTAATATACATACATCAGAAGATAAAATTTATCCTTACATTTGCGACGGTTTATATAAAATAAAAATTCTTTCATAATGTTCATTTGCAACATTTGTAGCAAGAGACTTAATACTGTTAGGTGATTGATTTTACCTTTTGGAGTTGAAAATTCGTTATTATTTAGTTTATAATACTATAATTTACAGTTTAAATATATAACAACTTTAAATGATATAAATAAACTTTGTTACAATATTAAATTTTTTTTTATAGACCTGTACCAAATCTCAACAATATTATACTTGAGATAAGAATATAGCGGTTTATAGGGAATCTATACATGCTATGGATTCGATATTTCGCACATCGATATAGACCAAAGAAGTCGATATTTTGAGGGTAATGTTGTGTTTCTAAGTTGCTAAACTTCACTATTTTTAAGAAAATTTTAATAATATTGAAGTTAGTAACTATTTCCGATATAACCGAAAGTGATTGAGACATGACACTACCCTTAAAAGATTGATATCTTTGCCTTATATCGACGTGCCAAATATCAAATCCATTGCAGCTGTAGTTTCCGTATAAAATCCTATGTCCCATTTCCGTGGGACGCCTGTATTCTTGTTTCAAGATTATTAATATACTTATTGCAAGAAAATGGAATTGTTGATG